GAAAATTTTTATCATACAGTTTCCATATATGAAAAACTTTTTGCCATACATTTTCATACAATTTCATAGGTACACAAAAGTTTATGTAATCTCTAAGATAAGCAATTTTCCATATATGAAAAATGTATGATAGATGTTGTTCCATACACAAAAAACTTGATTTTTTTTTCAAAATCTTATTTCTGAAAAATTTTGGGTTCTGTTTATAAACTAACGCAGCTGACAAAGACCTTGGCTTACTCAAAGCATTAAAGGTTGAATGGTCTTGCCTTTACAAAGCATGGAAAATGACCAGGATTTCTTTAGAGCTGTCTGTCACAAGCGATATAACGTAAGTAACAAATTTATAAATTTTTGCAAAGTTTTTCAACGATGATTATTTAAAAATTTGAAATTTTAGTTTATCAGACATTGATCCAGGTATAAAAAAAAACACCAAACAAAAAATATAGGAGTTTTCAACGTTTTTGAATAAAAGTTTAGCGAAAAGGAAAAAAAATCCAATAATAATATAGGATATATATCCAGGACTACGTTATGCACCCAAAAAATAAATTTTGCATGCAACAAGTTTTTGGAAAACGCCTGTTAACGTTCAAAATTCATTTTGCGGTTGAAAAAAAACGAAAAAAAAATTTAGGGTAATTCTGAAAGTTTTTGTGTCTCCACAAAAAATGATAGTCTTACCTCGGTTTTTTTATCAGATGACTGTTTTATTAGAATCAAACAGCCATAGAAATTAGTTTATATCTTTTACCAACCATTTTTCGAAATTGTCTGAAAACTTTATGGCAAGCATTTTTCGTTACATTTGATGTATGGAATTGTATGATAAGCGTTTTCGGAACATGGAGGTCAACCCGGGTTCATAAATTTTGTTACTTCTATGGATAGTAAAGGAAATCTGAACCATTTTTGGACCTCTTCGTTTAGCGGCTCAGCTTAGACGTTTTAAACAACGATGAGGTCAGATGCGAAAGTCTGATAAACTGAATAAAAATCAAACAAAAGCTGATTTTTTTTATACCGAAGCTCCTTTCGACAAAAATTTTGAATTGCTTAAGTTCTGATTTAAATTATCCAAAAAAACGTAAAATTTTAAGCAGGGTTTATCTAATCCTGGGTGGAATTTGTTTAACATGATGCAGATGCAACTTGCTTAAAGTTTCAGTTGAGTTTTTATGGTGTAATTTGTTTTGAGAAATTCTGTTCAAAAATTTTAGCCCAATAACGACAATTTTAAAATTTTTTATTGTTCCGACTTTCGATACGAAAGTAACGGAATATTTGTGCTCGGGGTGGGTTTTTTTTTCTTCAGACAAATTTCGACTTTTTAACTAGCCATTTTTGATTGAATTTGATAGAATTTTTTCAAATCATTCAAAAGGTATTGTTATCCTGAGCTTAAAATTGAAAAGATCATTTCTCGTATCATTTCAGACCTGTGATCATTTTTCGTAAAGTTGTGAGGGTTTGAAGATTGCCATTTTGGCCATTTTGACCAATTTGGGACAATTAACGCGCGATATAATTCGCGCTATTAACACGTAAGCGGAGATTTAATCCGTCTTAGAAATCGTTCCAAATTAGTTGGAAGAAGCTTATTTGCCATAATTGATTCGTTACAAGGAGCGAGATCTATCTTTTTGTACTTTATATGGCGTGTGGGGTGATGATTTTTATAAAAATTTTCAAATTTTAGAAAAAAAAATTTTTCATTTCATTTTATTTCTTTTAATTTTTTATGTTATTACTGCTGCTCCATAAACCTTAAAAGGCAGTCGGAACATTCAGGGCTTCGCCCTGATACGAGCAGTTTTGTTTAATATAAAATTTTCGGCTAATTCCTTAAAAGTTGGCTTCTTACATAGTTCAAGAGAGTTTAAGGCTGACACAATTTTAAAAAAAATTGCATTGGAAAATTATTTTTGTTTGATAGACAAAAGTGTCATTTTTATTAATTAAAACACCCATTTTTTTTAATAACTTTTGATCAATTTGCGCAATTTTTTTTAATTATACACTCATTAAATTTTGTTTCCTTTATAAGTTTGTCAGTACTTGACAGGGATTATTCTTCGGCGTAAAAGCCAAAAATTATCATTTTTTGGGTAAATACTGCGACCTGAAATTAGCTAAATATGTTTCACCTTATTAATTCTGCTAAAACTCTAACCATCGTTTGTATAAAATTAATCCAATTTGAGAAAAACGCGTTTCATTTCTCATGTTTTTATTTGTGTTGTCTGGATAATTTAAAGCAGCACTAAATGTCATAGACTAAACTGTTTAGTTACCACATATTATTTAATGTCCGAAAGGTAACCAACATAGCATGTTCATGTTTATCGAGGGCATAGAAATACTTTCTGCCTTCCTCGCAGTACGATATACATTATACGTAAGTTGAAAGAAGTTTTCCGTAGGTTTTTTTTCACTATGTTCTTGCCTTGCAAGGCATCTAAGAGCATATCACACTTTTTTTGTTGTTGCCAGGATTTATAAAAATTGAACAAAAAAGAGGGAAAAAATGTTTCAGAAGCGTTAAATTTTTCACATGAATTTTAACTTGGTATTGATATACATTCTGAGCAAGCTTGTATTCTATTCAATTAACAATTCGCGAAAGTAAAATTTAGAAAAATAATAGGAGTGCATTGTGCGAATTTTTTCAAAAAACTAAAGAATTGACTGTTAATACATTTGTCAATGTAAAACCATTATCAAATTTTCGTTACGGCCACCAAAATTTGATTTTGGGTTTGTTTTTTTTTCTTATGAAAAATTAGCCTCAAATAAAGTTCAATTGGAACCGAGTCATCGACAACCTTTAGATCATAATTCAGTTGATTACAGAAAACTTCAAAACATTTTCACGGTCGAGAAAAACAGCTCAAGCTGTTTAAAATTTTTCATTTTAGCTTTTTCATCAAATATAGAGTGAACAATTTAGCTTCTGAAAAGAGTTGAAACAATTCTTTTTTTTTCAGATTTTTGGTTTAACATATCAGTTTTTCTCGCGGATCTCTCTTCGTGCAATATAGAGTGGTCATAGAGTATTCAGCTCGTCTTTTTCTCTCCGTTTTTTGCTCAAATTTAGAATCAACAAGAATAATTTCATCTTACGATCACCTTGTTAGCCGGCTAATATTCGTTTTATATTTTTTGTAGGTTCCATTTAATAGCGATACTTTATGATAAGAAACAAAAAATATCTGAAGTTCTTCAGCTCGTAAAAACATGTATAGCAAACCAAGGTGTACCACGGAAACTTTACCTGGACCAAGGGTCCAGCTTTACGCCAAAGCGGTTAAAACAACTTGAAAGGCCGAAACTTATGGAATCTTTTACAATGTTGAACGGTTTATTGGGATTCTGAAAAAAAATAGCCTTAGCGTATGCGTAAAACTTTTTTTATGCAAAACAAACACTATTCGTGAGTCGTAACACCAGCAGATATATAGGGGCGGGGGTGCGGTGGTCGGGATTCGACTGTTGACCTAAAGGGTCTTATCTTCTTTGTACTATTTTGAGACATCCATTTTTGGCTGATGGACTCCTAAAATTTTTCTCTTAAGATAACTGAATTTTTTTTGTACCCCCATTAAAACGATCAAAGTAACCATATTTGCCTTAAACTTTTATCAGATCCCGACAAAACACAATTTTGTTGTCAGATTTGTTAAAATTACTTCAATGGATATGTTTCAGGCCAACATGTTTTCATGTATAAATAAAAATTCAGTCCAAGAGATAAGTTTTGTAAAGTTAATTAGGATATGAAATTAACGTTGATTTTTTTACTACTCGAAATTTCAATTTTATTCAAAAAACGAGACCAAGAGCTGTTGTGAAACTCAAGAGAACTTAATTAAAAACAAAACTGAAAGACAAGCAAGAAAGATTTGAAATTAGAATAGAAAAAAGACATTTCTTTATTGTTTTATTGAGCAATAGAAATTTATTGTTTTATGACATTTTGAAGATATAAATTTTACAAAATTTCTTTTGTAGTTTCTGTATTGGAGCTTCTGTTGCTCTTTTTAAATAATTGCGATTCAAAATTCGTAGCAAAAAAAAAACGGAAATAAACGAAATAAGAGTTTAGACATTGCTAAGTGGTTTGATAAGTGCATGTAGAAATGATGTTGAGAGTCTACCCGTGCCAATTAGAAAACGTCGGATTAAAAATAAAATAAAAAGAAAAGTGACGCAGAATGGTAAAATTGCCTAATTTGCTAGTCTTTGTATTTTTAAACTCGGTTTTCTTTCAGAGAAAACTGTTTATGTTGGTTGGCACAAAACTTAATAAGGTAATCTTTTGAAAGAAACTATTGTATCGATCAATGCAAAAAGATTTTAACAACAACTTTTGTAGACTGGACATTGTCAATGCTGCTCACAAGTACATCTTTAATGGTCCTCCCGTAATTAAGATACTATCTTTTAAGAAACAAAATCTTTTTGAAAAATGCTTTTAAAAAATGATAGACATAGAATTCATGTAGATGAGAATCGAAGGATTAGCATTCTTTCATAAACTCCATTTAAGGCAGTGCATGGGAACCATTTTCGGAGCATGGAGGTCAACCAGGAAGAGATAGTTTCAAAAGATTGGAGGACAGACAGACAATTGGCATCGTAGCAATCGGTGGTTGAAACATTTTGAACAACCGTACTTATAAATCATTGGATCATAATTAATCTCAAAAAAGAAGAAAATCTAGAACTTCTAGCTAGACAATTTTTTGAGGTACTTTGAGACTTTAGATCAAAAAAACTTTCAGGTCACATCTATTAAAATTCATAGGAGTTGTAAACTTACAGAGTTTTTCCTTTTTAAATTTTCTTCTTAGATTAGAGCAATTTATTGGCTGTGAATTTAATTTTCATTGCTTTGGGCATTAGCTCGACTTCACTTATGTGACATGACCAAATTTGTTTGAAAGTGTCCTAAAAACTAAAGTGTACCAAATAAAACGGAAATCGGTTTTACTCACGGCACAGTTAAAGCAGACGGCGCCGACTGTGTAGTCGGGATCCGATTTGCCTGGCACTCGGCAATCGTACCTCGCGAGAGACGCCACGAAGTGCCCGTAGAAATTCACACTGGCCTTGTAGTCGCTTGTCGTTAAATAAGTCAGCACCGCCTCGCAATTTGACTCAGTTATGAGAGGGGTGCTATTACTCCCTGAATGTGGTGCCAAAATATGCTGCAAAGTTAGCAATGTGTCTCGTGGTCGCATACACTGGTTGTAAAGCGTGAAATTTTGAGGAAAAGCCTCTTCTATTAAAATATTGTAATAACCACAAAATGGTAGCCGTAACTTGCTCAGTAAATCTTCAAGTGGTAAACTTGAATTTTCATCTGAGTTTTCGTGAGTTGTTGTTTCATTTTTTCTGAACAGATTTTTGCAGGTTGATTTTACAGACCATATGTGCGACTCGTTTATTTCCTTATTTGTAAATGCATAATCAATTTCAGGAGTGAACAGAATACCCCATTGATGTTTGTTCTGCTCGTCTTTTTCAGGGATAACAGCACTGTATCCGGGAAGGCCACAAATTTCTTTCTCAGGTTCTCCGTGGGCTAAATACTTGAAGTATTCGTACCAATTTTGAGTATTTTCGCCCGCTTGTGTTTTTGGACAGCTGGTATTCTGTTTTTTCTGCAGTTCATTCAATCCAGACCTTTGAACCAACTGACCATATAATTTATTACATTCTCTTCCATCTGGCTTTAATTTTGTTTTCACTTTTGGCATATTTTCGATTTGGGATATTCTTGCAGATGATGAAATGATTTCGGGTTGGTCTGATTCGGAGTTTTGGGTTCTCGATGACTTGGACAATACTTTTTGGCGCCCAATTGCAGCGGAACAGGGCTGCAGAATGAGACTAGTTATGAGCAGGTAGTTTATTATAACGAGTTTGACTCTGTTGATAAAATGGGGGTAGTTAAGCAAAGTGTAAACCGAATCGGAGACATCGCTCACCAAATGCATAATTAGCTATCTGCTCTAGCAACCCGCAAGTGACCTGAAACTTTGACCTCCAGGCAGCAGCGACTGAACTTAACTGACCTTGACAACTGATCCTGACTGGTCGTGAACGATGTGTGAACGAGAAGTGATTTAATAGTGATGGAACTTTCCAGTGAAAAAGTGTGAAATAAGTGGAGGTGCAAAAACTGCGGGTCGCCAATTGCGTCAGCATGGCACAACGCCTGAAAGATGGAGCTCATCCACAGAAGAACCTCAATTAATAACTAAGTATAACCAATCTAATCAACTGGGTAAATTAACTAAACCAAAAAGCGAAATCAAACGGAGGAATTGTAGACAGTTATAGACAAGTAATATGTAATTGCCGCTAAAAAGAATTTCACTTATGTTTAAATACTTGAAATAAAAATAATGTTCGCAGGTTATTCGATTGGTAAATTTTGAGGTCAGTTTTTTGACGAGGCAGATCGGCGATTAAGCTAGCAGTTGGAATGAAGTTGGTTTTGTCGAACCTCCAACGCGTGTTTTTTTTGTGCAATTCAGCTTAAGTTATCGTCCATTTTCTGCTAAAACACAAACACAAAATTTTTTAAAAAAAACTAAGGAAAATATATGATAACTCATTTGAAATTATTAGCCCTAATGTTTTCTAGAAGAAAGAAACTAGCATTTCAGTTCGAACTGAAAAGCCACACAACCATTTCAGAGACGTTAAAATGGTAACGAAATACGAAAATTGTTGGCTATGTCTCAAAATGGGAAATCCGGCCTATGAATGAATAATTAGAGGCCAAACGAGTGGGACTGAAAAAAGCTAGCACCGGCCGTAACGATTAGAGAAATCACCGGGCGGGGTTCTAAGCACGCTCCATTTCAATCTGGGAAAATGACAAACTAGTGGAATTAAAGGGGACCAAACGCGGCACTTTCATAGAACGAGCGGCTAAAATCGGAAGAGCTAAAATTTTTGTTAGCGGAGCCAAATTGCGGAAAAAATACCCGCTGCGAAACAAGTTAGGCTGCAACTAGCACCAATTGGAATTAAAGTGAAAGAAAAGCTTATTTAAATGATTGAAAAAATGAAGGAAAATCGAAAAAGGGATAATGTGTAAAAAACGGAGTAACTGTTAAGCATTCACCACCACCACCCCTGTAGCCGGTCCTGTCCTGTCCTGTCCTCTGCGTGCTGCTCTGGCTGAAGTGCGTGTATATTGTACCAAAATCCAGAAACACAAATACAAATCCGAGAGAGCGGCGGGAGCGTGTTGGGCTTTGAAAGCAGCTAAATACTGAGAATAAAATAGCCCGCAAATAAAACAGGAATGAACGGCTATTAGCATTGGGCGCATTCGCAATGGAAAATCAGGCACGCTAAGGAAAGGGAAAATAAAGAAAGAATAGTAGAGAGGAAAATGGAGGGGGGGGGGTTGTTAAATAGTATCTGCGTTTGGTAGCAGCAGTGGGTTCGCTCGTTTGGCGGCCCATAGAGGGATTTCAACATGATTGGTGTATTACATTTTCCTGCTTTCCCTTCTAATCCCCTTGCGACGCGGGAAAAGTACCGGGCTCCAACTCGCGTCCGGCCGCCGCGCTCTCAACAAAGCAGAGCAGAGGCACAAATGGAAGGGACCAGCAATAGCAAAGCGAAAACTTGATAACACCGACAAAAGACCTTGCTATAACGGTAGTTTTTTACTGAATCAAACTTTCAAAACATACATTACCGCGTTAGTATGAGTTATAAGCAGTAACATTTTAACCTAAATTATCTGTATTTCTAACAAGTGCCTTTTTCAATCACCCAATGGTTTTTTTCCCGGCTGTCACTTTTAATTAAAATGTTTTTATTTTGAAAAAAAGGAGACAGCTGAATGTTTTTTCAACTGTCTGCCATAAAATTGTTCTGTTTTCCGACCGCATGCTCTGTTCGTAAGCACACACGGCCTGGCACGGGTACAAATTGAAAATTATTCTGGTCTAAGTTGGTGGACGTAAAAATAAGTGGCGCATTTTAATAAGCATACTAATAAAAGGTAATACAGTCGCTAGGCACTTGAATTTTGCCCTCAAAGTTAAGAGCACGTACTTAACCCACCTATCTCTAACCCTACAGTGAAAATAGCCCGAGCGTATTTTCAGCTCCATAAATTTTTATAACCCCATACAAATCGATTGCCTTTTGCCATTATACTGTTTGGATAACCCACTCCGCCCAAATTACCAACAAAACAGGAGAAGAACAAAGCGTGACCTCGTTTTTTAAACTCAAACATTGCTATGCTATTTCAAATAACCTGAAGAACAAACTTAAACGCGCAAGTCTTTGAAGGACGAAAATTGATTTGAGGCTTGGTGGGAAAAAATCTCCTAGGATTATCGAGACAAGTTTTGAGTTACATGTTATGAGGGTTTAGGCTAAATGAGAAAATCGGTTGAGTGGGGGCTTAGAAGCAGAGGGGAGGTCAGGGTATGGAGGGAAGAGAAGGGAAGGGAAGAGAAGGGAAGCAGAAGCAGAAGCAGGGTACTAGAATTACAGCCCAAATCTGAGCAGAATGAAAGCGGAATGAAAGGGGAGGTGCTTATTTAGGCTGCTGTACCCCCCGTTGCTTTCTTTCTTTTTTGTTATTATTACGATGAACAGCATCAAATAACATTATTATATCTATATGGTCCACCCGCCCATCTATGCCTTTCAGATAGGGGATAAATTGGACTCCGGCCGATAGTAATAAATTAATGATGGTGGGCAATTGAAAATCGGTTGGGCCCTAAACCAGATTTGATGCGTTTTATTTCAATATTACACCACCGTATGGTCCAGACATGATTGAATGGGGTAGAGCGGCTTTGATATGATGATAAACTGCTCCCAAAACTCATTTTACCAACTTCCCAAATTTAATCAAAACAGCGGAAAATGTTTCCACAAATTTGCCCTATAGCCGGAAATAAGCCAGAAAACACGATTATGGGACTGCTTAATAGAAACATGATGGCTGATGGCATGTTTTGTGCCACATAACTGAAAATATCACTAAATAACCAAATGTGATCACTTCCTCAAAATATCCGGGTTATATCCCAGTAAACGTTGGAAAACCAGTTGAATTATAAATAGCTGAATCAATAATTATGACACAAAGGGAAACCACCGCACAATAATTTCTCCTTTTGCAAAAACAAATTGCATTAATTGTAATGACAAACAGCATTTGCAGACAGCTTTCCTTCATCTCTCATCTTGTGATAACACCACTAATTTTTTACTGTTGTTTGAGAACGAATCAAAACTACAATAGAACAAGAGTGCTCGTATCAGGGCGAAGCCGTGAATGTTCCGACTGCCTTTTAAGGTTTATGGAGCAGTAATAACATTAAAAATTTAAATGTAAGAAAAAAATAAAATGAAAATTTTTTTTTCTGAAATTTGAAATTTTTTAATGAAAATCATCCACCCACACGCCATACAAAACACAAAAGGATAAATTTTGCTCCTTGTAACAAACCAATTATGGCGAATAAGCTTCTTTTAACCAATTTGGAACGATTTCTAAGACGGATTAACTCTCCGCTTACGCGTTAATAGCGCGAAATATATCGTGCGTTAATTGTCCCAAATTGGCCAAAATGGCAATTTTTAAACACCCATAACTTTACGAAAAATGATCACAAGTGAAATATTTTTTCAAATTTGAGCTCAAGACAACAATACCTTTCGATTGATACAAAAAAATTCCGTCAAAAATGGCTAGTTAAAAAGTCGAAATTTGTCTGAAGAAAAAAAAACCCAACCCGAGCACAAATATTCCGTTACTTTCGTATCGAAAGTCGGAACAACAAGACTGCTCGTATCAGGGCAAAGCCCTGAATGTTCCGACTGCCTTTTAATGTTTATGGAGCAGTAATAACATAAACAACATAAAAAAATTAAATGAAATAAAATAAAATGAAATTTTTCTTTCTAAAATTTGAAAATTTTTGTATAAAAATCATCCCCCCTCACGCCATATAAAGTACAAAACAATAGATTTCGCTCCTTGTAACGAAAGAATTATGGCAAAAAAGCGTCTTTCAACCAATTTGGAACGATTTCTAAGACGGATTAACTCTCCGCTTACGCGTTAATAGCGCGAATTATATCGCGCGTTAATTGTCCCAAATTGGTCAAAATGGCAATCTTTAAACCCTCATAACTTTACGAAAAATGATCACAGGTAAAATATCTTTTCAAATTTAAGCTCAAGACAACAATAGCTTTCGAATGATATAAAAAAATTCCGTCAAAAATGGCTAGTTAAAAAGTCAAAATTTGTCTGAAGAAAAAAAAAACCCACCCCGAGCACGAATATTCCGTTACTTTCGTACCGAAAAACGGAACAACAAGACTGCTCGTATCAGGGCGAAGCCCTGAATGTTCCGACTGCCTTTTAAGTTTTATGGAGCAGTAATAACATAAATATCATTAACAAATTAAATGTAAAAAAAATGAAATAAAAAATTCTAAATCCATGAAAATCATCCCCCCACACACCATATAAACTACAAAAGAATAGATTTCGCTCCTTTTAACAAATCATTCATGGCAAACAAGCTTCTTTCAACCAATTTGGAACGATTTCTAAGACGGATTAACTCTCCGCTTACGCGTTAATAGCGCGAAATATATCGTGCGTTAATTGTCCCAAATTGGCCAAAATGGCAATTTTTAAACACCCATAACTTTACGAAAAATAAGCACAGGTGAAATATCTTTTCAAATTTGAGATCAAGACAACGATACCTTTCGAATGATGTAAAAAATGCCGTCAAAAATGGCTAGTTAAAAAGTCGAAATTTGTCTGAAGAAAACAAAACCCACCCCGAGCACAAATATTCCGTTACTTTCGTATCGAAAGTCGGAACAATTATGTACAATTAGCAATGGCGGGCTGATAACTAGGTTTCAAGAACTAGTTATCAATATCCTAATTAATTTGTTATAAAGTCAAAGGCAAAAAAAAACGAACTTGCTGGAAAAAAATCCATTGTTTTTTGACATTTTTCAGAACAGTTCATTGCATCTAGCCTGAGAGGGATTTTCTCAAATTCATCTTTTCTACTCCACCTGATTTTTATATATGCTGCTTTAATTGGCCTAAAAATACGTGAAGTAAAATTTGTTTCCGTTTTCAGTAACCAGAACAAATTTTTTCAACGAATGAACAAGTCAGGAATAAACCGACTCTGACTTTTAACGTAACTGAAGTTTTTTTTTAAAAAATGATGTTCACTCAATTTTGTTTTCGAATGTCTTTCCCTCCGCGCGCAATGCCAAACCAAAGTTGACATCTTTTGCGTCAAGTAAAATACGCTTGCCTTAATTCTGTTTGGAGTGATCGCATAGGCAGATGAATTCGCTGCTTTCAGAAAACGGCATATTACTCAATTATCAAATTATGAATATAAATCATACCAAGTAAATATAAATTACTGCTCCGACTTTCGATGAAAATGACGAAATATTTGAGCTCGGGGTGTTTTTTTAGCCAGACAGCCTTCGGCTTCCTAGCCAGCAGTTTTTTGGCGG